TCTCACCTTCTTTTTTGTTTACATAAATTTTTTTTGAATAGCAAAAATGAAGGCAGAGTAGAATAAATGTTGACAAGAAAGTTGCATACTTCAGAGCTTCTTCAATAAAGCTTTGATCATCGTTTAGGTTTACTGCTGCAAAACAAACGCTTTGCAGGATTGTGCTCCATAAGCAGTTTGACGATCGCAGCGATTTATGCGGTGTGGTTCAACGTTAAAAGTACTTTTGCCCACTGGTCATATTCAGAAAAACAAAAAAAAAATTTTTTCAAATCACATTATTTAGGTGGAAAAATTCGCTTGCAAAAGCAAATAGAATCCCATAAATTATCAAATAGTAAATACTATGAAAGCTATCAAGTTACTGGCTGAAAAAAAAAAAAAAAAATAAAACAACAAGGCAAATGGCACGGTCGGCTTAATAGGTTATTGATTTACAAATCATAACACTAATTTTGCAACACATTAAAGAATTCATATTCTTTCTTTATAGATCTGTAGAGCCTAATAAGCAAGCAGTAATGCATGAAAATACTCAACCTTCAAAAAAAAAAACAATCGATGAAATGCTAAAAAGAAAATACAAGTGATACAACGGGCAAATAACTCAACAACTGAACAGCGAGCAAACGCCGTATGGCTTAAAACGTATTGAGAAGCAACTGAATTGTTCGAACGAATTACACTCCACGTTAACATTGGTGAGTTTCTAAAGAAGGGGTGGAGCAGCAACATCGTGGCTTCTTCCATAGTACAAAACAACTGATGTAACCATTGAATAACCATTCTCAACTGAACAAATTCGCGTGATAAGCAAAGTAAAAGTTGTTTTATTGAACAAAATTTGTGTAATTTGTTGGGTAGTGTGCTCCCTATCCTCTAAATTTCTGCCAATTGTACATACACGCGGCAGCAATAACCCGCTTTGGTTTCCTTTTTTTCTAAGTAGACTGCGCGACAACACTTGCTAAAACATAAAAAAGTTTACCTCCTAACATAAGACGCTCCCTATATTAAGGGCTGTTCTTTCTTTCGTGTGTCTAACTCTCTGAAAAACAATATGACGGTGTAAATCCAAAGAAACTAAAAGCAAAAGGATGTCCCAACAACAGACTGTTGCCCGGCTAATAAGACAACGCGCCATTGCCCCCTCATCCATGTGCTGTTAATTACTACATATTACCAGACTAGAACTCTGGCTAGCATACCTTTCAACAGATCGCAACAGAAGAGTAACTACCTCCTTATCACATCGACCATTTTCAACGATTAGTGAATGAAGAGTAATCCCATTAGCGCTAAGCAGGTTCCCTAAAAGCGAACACCTCAACAATTGTAACGACCTTCATCACAACGTTTAAATGTACATCTGTGAAATGTGATATCATTAATTTACAGAATTCTTTCTACACATCAAAACCTAAGTTAAACCATTTCGTCTTGCTCTCCAACGCATTATAAAATGCTTGGAAAGACTGCTTATGCGCTAAAAAAAGAAAACGCATCAATCCTTCTCTCCAATTGGCTTTTAAACACCGACAGTCCTACCCGAAAAGCGTATGCTCATGGCAAGCGATGTGTCTCGAGATTACCTTCCGTCTCACTGTTTCTTCCCTTCAATTACAAAAAAAAAGTAACTAAAGAATCTGTCTGACATGCTGAGAGCCATAAATTCATCCAGTACCTCTTTCTTACATCCTCAAGTAAGTTATCATCGCTTAGCAAAAAACCGGATTACACTATACTCCTTTAAAGAACTAACAAAAATAGCACTACTTCACGCAGTTAAGACCGAGTAGACACAACTTCAGTTACTATGACCAACATTTAGATTTTGACAAAGCGAAAATTATTGTAGCATCTGAAAAACAATTTGAGTCATCATGTTCTAAGAGAAATACGTAATGAAATGAAACAGTAAGCATCACTTTTGCGAGCTCGAAAAGCTCTTATAAAGAATAGTGCTACGAGAGCAAAAAAATCTGCTAAGGTGGTCCGAACTCGCAGCAGTTAACATGGCGTCGAAAATGAAGTGGAATTGGGATTTCCTCAGCAGCACTTCTACAGAATGTCGAAAGAATCAATAAGTTATACATATGCAAACAACGCAAAAAAGAACACTCATTCGGCAGGATCACCCTTGGACCCAAGCCGTTGGGGATCCTGGGAGGGATAATAAACTTTTGGTGTGACATCTCCCGTGTAAGTTGCTGGTGCTGGATTTACAGAGTAAGGCACCTGCAATAAAATACCTGAGTCAGATTACAAAACTTTTGATAACTGCACCGTTAACTCTACACAGAAAAACAACAGATTAAGTCTTGTTGCAAAAAAAAAACCTGGGGAACAATCATCTGAGAAGGAGGTGCAAAGGTTCCAACGGGAGGCATTGGCGGCATTGGAATACTATCAAACTTCTGGCGCTTGCTGGAAGATGGGCCATCACTTTCGTCATCAAAGAATGTAGGTACTGGGCAAGCTGAAAAACCATTTATCAGTTCACACAGGGAAATTAAATTCTTGGCACATCTCCACCAAAAAAAAATAAATAAATAAATAAAAAAAACGAAAATGAAAGGTGAGAAAATTACGATTAGGTATATTTGCGACAGGTTCCAGAAGTTTCTTTTCTTCCTCAGTGCTACGAGCCTGTGGTCTACCCCAACGGATCTTTAATTTCCTCCCTAAGAATAAAACAAAAGTGGTACCTACGAACAAAACGAAAAGCTCGGGAGATTTTCAAAATAAAATCACCAACCCTGCATGACCAGTTTATTAAAAGAACGTTCTGCGGCTTTCTCAGCCGCCTGTCTCGTTGTAAAAGCAATAAAAGCACATGCCTTAGCGGTTAGTACGTTTAGACTTCTAATTTCACCGAACTGATAAAAGTAATCCCTAAAACGAAATCTTTCGAACAGCTCACTCACTACAGGGAAACTGCAAAAAACTTGTTTCTCAATAAATACCATTCCTATCAAAACAAAGAAAAAATAGACCTAAGATCGCCTTCAGTTATAGCACCAGCTGGACCCAGGTCACCAACATATAAAGTTGTTATTGAGGTGTCCTCAGGCGGCTGTAGCACAGGCATAGCTTTCGCCCTATTAAGAAGCTTATCTGCGACAGGGTCATTATTCCCATAATATCGATCTCGCATGTTTTGGTGACTAAGTGGGTCATCCGGATCTGACGGTTTCTCATGCCTTGAAACGAGTAGATATTGAAGAAATAAAGTGTGCTCTATTTCATCCACAAGTGAAAAGTTCCAACAAACCCAAACAAGGATTTTCTGGATGTAAAATGTGATGTAGTGTAACCCAATTTGAAGTCACAAATTTTTAAAATAGCATTTTTACCTCAAAATGAGCGACATACTAACCTGTACGGGCATTCTTCGCCACGTTTGCACTCCCCTTTGACGAAAAATGAGCAGATATGTGGTTTGTTTCTCTGATAATACGGAGTGTTTCTCGCAAGCTTTCGTAAAAAGTCATTGGAGCCTAAAACGACCTTGTTGTCCAGTCACTAGAAATTAAAGAAAAGACAAAAACAAGCAAGCCAGCTCACTGGCAATATAAGTGAGTGGAAAAGTATCGATAACGAAATGAAAACTAATATGTTTTATCTATGCTGCTTTTGCATCACATTTGGTAAATGCACACGTTCCGTGTTGTGAGCATCTTTACTTTCCATAAGTAATCCAGGGCAAAAAGAATGCACACAAGCGATGCTATAAGATCGAAAAATAATCGAAAACAAAACAAAACAGCGACCAGCATCAGTGATTTTTGCCAAAGCTCCTCCTGGAGTCGTCCCATCAGTAAGGGCTAGTTCTCTTTCTTGATTTTGTATATAAAAATCTCGATTTGCCCCTTGCTTGGGCATGTCATCCTGTATTTGTAAGGCATGGTCACGTACTTGAACAGGTAAGCCTGAAATAAATATAAGTAGTCTAACCTACTTCAACAAGTGTGGAAGGATGCAAAAATAAAGCGGAAAAAA